GAAACCAAACAATTAAAACAAACATTATTTCTCTTGACAAAATTAACGCGTTCCTGAACATTCAGATTTAAAAACTTATTACATTTAAAAACTGAATGACCGGCTTTACAATACGTACACTGCGCGCGAATCTCTGAAGCCAATGAAGTTAATTTGTCTTTTGTAACTTGTTTTTTAACACCTTGCGGTTTTACCTGCTTGCAAGGTTCTGGCATGAGATTTCAAGAACTCTAGCAGATTATTAAGTGTTGGTATTTCCTCACTCTTTAATGTTCTTTCCCACCATCCTCTCGTCGAAGAATCCAATTTAAACTGTACTATTAACATTAAAATAGTATCCGCGAATTGCTCCACTTTGAATCCTAGATTTTCAAACGAACATACACACTCTCTTACAGTGTCTACTAACGCTAATATCTGACTAGGAATTTCAGATTGTAAATTTGATAAATACAAGATTTTCTTTAATAACGATGAAAGTAATTCTCTCTTATGTGAAAATCTTTGACACACAATAAATGCCACGCTATTTCGAAATTCCTGTCACAAATAGTTAAAGCTTGAACAATCCGCAAAGCATCTCCTTTTAAAGAACCCTTTAAATATTGTAGCTTTTGTGCACCTGATAAACGGTCATTATCCACTATCGCCGTTTTAAATAAATCAAAAAATGATAACCATTCTTCAGTACTGCCACTAAATACAGGAAGAGTTAGCTTAGGTAAGCGTATACTCGCTATTTCACAAGATTTAGTTTCCACACTAATGTCTTTAACATTCTTAACTCTGGTTAGCATTAAAATTAACTCATCAACAGTATCTTGTATGACCTGTTGTTCTTCTATAAATACATCAATATCTTTTTCTTCACACACTACAAATATGTTACTAAAAATATCCGAAAGTTCGGTCATTAAGTCATTTAATCTAGATTTAAAAAGTTCCAACTGATCAACATCAGCAGAATCGTAAGTCACTGTAATTTTCTCTTTCAGTTTACTTAACTTAGCTTTAGCTACACGCTTTTTAGTCTTAAGCGTTGTAAATTCCATTATCTAATAAGAAAGATAAAAAAACACACTGACTCACCAAATTTTTTGCGACTCCGTAGCTGACGGACCATAAAACATGTACGTTCCGTTGTTTAAAAATAGTGGACTGTAAATTAACTTGATATTACTTCAGTATAGAACTCAAAAAACCTCAGACTCCTAACGTTGACCGAAACTTCTTTATTGACTTTCAAATAGTAAGTTAGGCGAAGAGGAACGGCGAAGACCACACAAACTCCGACTTCAGTGGCGGCTTACCAACACAAACTCAGAAGAACCTCCGCTTAGTTGAAACTCCAGTAATTCACAGCAACCTCGAAGCTCTAAACGCGAGCTTTAAAAACCTAACAAATTTGCGTCTGCGCCGCTCCTCGGTACAAAGAAAGAAATACAATTTGCATAACATCGAACACTCAGAACTAGAAATTTATTGACAGTTAAGTACAGCCCACTAAAATTCTTCAAAATATGATCCTTCAGCATCAACACAGCGTTACCAGCGCATCTTCCTCTGTTCGTAGCCCCTCTGGAAGGCCTCGGGGGTCATGCTGTCAAGGGCTCTCATCGAAGCCTGCTGGATGACGTCGATGGAGTCGAATCACTTCTCTTTTAGTTCAACGTGACAACACTGCCGAAGCCACCCTATAGCCCAGACTTGGCTCCAAGCGTGTTTCTCCTCTTCCACCAAATCAAGACAGGCCTAAAAGGGAAGCGATTCGACTCCATCAACATCATCCAGCAGGCTTCGACGAGAGCCCTTGACAGCATGACGTCTGAGGCCTTCCAGAAGGGCTACAAACAGTGGCACTGTCTTGATGCTGAAGAAGGATCATATTTTGAAGAATTTTAGTCTGCTGTACTTAAATGTCCAATAAATTTCTAGTTCTGAGATAAGTCTTGAAACTTTTGAATCACACCCTGTACATAATATACAGGGTTGAATCTGAACAAGTGGGCAAAACTTTAGAGGGTGATAAAAGGCAGCTGTACCAGCAGTATTTGTCATAAAATGTGTGGTCAGAATGCAAGCAGTGAGAAGTTAAAAGGGTAGTTTCCCAATGTCACATTTAAAGAATTAACACAAGAATGAAAGGAGATACTTCAGAAAACATTTTATTAACAGAACATGCTCAGAGAAATTTCTCAAAGATCTTCCACCAGCTGTGAAGCAGGCTTTGCACCTGTGGGATAGGGATTGACATACATTTGCAAAGGCAACATTTCCTGATTATGTCAGCAAAAACAGTGATCCTGGCGACTAGATCCATATTGGCCTCAGTGGAGCACTCGTAGATTAGGCTTTTCATATGGCCCAACAGTAAAAGGTCCAAACTCGACAGATCTGGTGATCTTGATGGCCTAGCTATAAGACCACTTCGACCAATCCATCTCCTGGAAATTTCGTGGTTCGTATAACCAGCAATCCTCTCAGCAAGCTGTGGTAGAAAATGCTGTTGGGTGCAAGGACTGACCAATGTCATTTACAATATCACCTAGAGACTTGCCATTTGCGTTCCACCCATACATTCTGTGATAAATATTTCTTGTATAGCTGCCTTCTCTCATCCTCTAAAGTTTTTCCCACTTGTTCAGATTGACCCTGTATATATAATTTACTTTTAGAATTAGAAAATGCAGTTCCCAAAATTAAAATTTACCATGCACTGGAAAGGTCAGGCATTAACTACTTTAAACAACATATTAACAGTGATATGATAAATTTACTCTAAACTGATAGAGAATAAAGAGGAATGGCTTTAGCATGACGTTTTACTGTAATTATGTAAGAAATCACTCTGTTATTTTATGTAATATAGTTTGTAAGTAATCTGGCACTTTCCTTTCACTATAAAAAGCCAGCTAATTTCAAGATGTATTAAAGCTCATTTACATGAAGACTATTTAAACTGTTGACTATCTTCCTTTTCCTTCTTTCAGAATTTATATTTAAATATCATTTCCTCTCATCTTGGCCATGAGCAATTTAGACTGCCTTTTGTTTCATTTCACCTAGGGTTTGTTTGTCACATTTTTCTTATTGCAGCCCTGTTCTAACAGCAACTGATTCATTTCTTAGAATCCCTTTTTAACAATATCAATAATACTGGACCACTGTTAACAGTTAAAAAGCTCGCCGAATAACACTTTGAAGAAATAACATGTCATAAATAACAGAAAAGCAAAACGCCTGTACTGCATTCCGATTTTCTCTTTACATTCTTACTTCCTATTTTTTTCCCACAGTTAAAAGTATTTTTACAGATTATGGCAATCTGAGTCTTTCCCACATATTTTAGCTTCAAAAAAATTTAGCCATTTTGCCAAAGTCATGCACCTTAATAAACTTGAATCCATTTTGCAATTTTTAAAATATTCCAGCACGAGCAGAAACAATAGACATTTTAGATTTCTTTGCTCACTTTTAATTTAATTTAAAATATCTTTTTTTATAAAATTTCTTCCATAAGAATATGGAGTTTCTTATCATTCAGCTAGCTTCATTTAATAAAAGATATTGTTTTTAGGACTATTTCGTGTTTTTCATAAATTATTAATTTGAATAATTCGAATATTTTGTTTGCAGGCTTTTTAGGTTTTTAATCTCTTTTTATGAGTTTTTTTGGGAGAAGGTATCAGTTTTGCATTACAATTAAAATTGTTTTTAATATTACTTTTAAATATTTGCATTTCACTGATGGAGAGCTGGAGATGTGTCAGGGTAGTTTCAGTCATTTTGAGATATAAAGAAATATGATTTAAAATTTTTGGTCAATTAGTAGCGGTGTGGATATCAAAATGACAGGAAGAATGAAATGTGTATTCAGCACTCATTAAGTATCCAGGTTTAATGTTTTAAATATTTACTTCTTGAAGAGTTCTATTTGATGCATTAAGCAGAGGATGTTTTTATTTGTTTTTCCTATTGTGAAATTTCTTTCCCCCTTTCCCTTGAAACAATAAATTTGCCAAATATTTTCCAATTTTAGTAATAAAAATAATAATGCGTTCTCACTTACTCAGGATATTCTCTTATTCCGGATAAGATAACCTTAAAAAAATTTTAATGTTATATAGTATATAAATATTATGTTATAATTTTGGTGTTAAAAGCATTGCATTGTAACTTGAATTACACAGTGCAGTGGGCACAATTTCTGCTCATTTTTTACCATATTTATGGCTTTTCCACATCTGCATAACAGTGAATTTTGATGCAGTAAAAGTAGTCCAGCCACAGAAAGCAAGCAGGTTGTCAAAACGAAAATGTGAGAGAAATAATTCAATATATCTAAGATAAAAGCACTGTCAAGATTATTTTGGTTTTGGTTTAACTTTATTTTGATTGGTTAATTTTAAGTTTCTAAAATTATTGTTGACTGAAACATTACATAAGTGCCTGCATCATTACTGTTATGCAGAAATCGTATGACATGGATTAATTTTAAAATGATGTAATTTGTAGTGATTTATTATGAGGAGTTACTGTTTTTAAAGAAAATAAAGAGGAAATAACCAAATTGAAGTGGAGAGTTAAAGAACTATTGCAAATTAAATTTATAATTTTGATTTACATATTTTTTCAGTCTTTAATGATGCAGTTTGTAGTTATTTATTATGAGGAGTTACTGTTTTTAGAACATAAAGAGGAAATAACCAAATTGAAGTGGAGAGTTAAGGAACTATTTCAAATTAAATTTAGAATTTTGATTTACATATTTTTCAATCTTGTGTGCACACACACACACACACACACGCACACACACATATATATATATAGAGAGAGAGCATGGTTTGGTTTCTTGTTTGTTTTAATAAACCTGTTCTGTTTTTTAATATTCTATGAATTTTAACTTGATGTAGCATTTTAGGTAAAAGTGTATATGTAAATTTTTATGGAACTTTTTAAATAAATTTGTTTACTGATTTATTTGCATAATTTATTTGTAGACAGAAATTAAAAATGATAAGAAGAAGGTAGATTTATTGACAGCTACAATACAAAAGTATGAAAGTACTCTTAAAACTCTTGGAGAAAAAGAAGCAGAGTATGCAAAAGAAACATCTGAAACTAGAAAGAAAGCCGAGGTAAATTCATCTAATCTGTTATCATTGCAGTGATAGCTATTTAATTAATAATAATTATTTTACTCCCTTTAATCTTCCTTTTTCTTTAAACTGTGTTCCCATTTTAGAGTTGGTTTTATACTGAAATTCGAATTAAATATTTTTGAAATTTTTAATATTTTTTAAAATTTTTTTGTATAATAACCTATAAAATTTTTACCATCATCTTAAAGTAGATGTGTTTCTAAGCATTTCTGCAAAAAATTAGAGTTTTTTTTATTCAGAATTTCCTGAGATATACCGTATTTATGCGAATCTAATGCGCCATCGAATCTAATGCGCATCCCCATTTTAAAAAAACTTAATAATAAAAAAAATTGTTTTCGCGAATGTATGCGCATCAATGGTATGAGGAAATTTATTGAATCTTATTTTATACAACAATGGATTTGCATATAAACTATCAATCAATGGTATGATAATTGTATTTAAATTTAGATACTATATTTTATACAACAATGGATTTATACATAAAGTAGCAGAACATAGAATTAACCTATTAGTGGGCTATTGTTATGTGAAACAATCATTGTTAATTACCACTACCGTATATACGGTACATATTGTAAAGTATGAACATGAAATAAATCGTAACATTTCTATCTAGCTAACAGTTTCTACAATCAGTGATTAATAGTAAACGTCTTTATTCACAACTTTAATGATAACTTTTTTAGTCCCCTTCTCCGTAATGTTGTAGTTACGAGGCATATCAAACCAAATTGGCGTCTTGTCAGCGTTGCCAATTTGCCCCATTGAAAAATTCTTTTCCTTCCGAAGTGTGATGACATATCACTAAAATGTTAGTAGTTTTCCCTCAAAATCTGCAGGAAGCTTTTGGCATATTGTTGTACGGCGTCTTAGAGATAAGCCCATCCTCTTCATAAACCGATCCACCCATCCACGGCTAACTTTAAACTCTGGTTTCGGTATTCCAAGAACTTCAGCCTCCTCTTTTGCTTTATTTCTTTTAGTGTCGCTAGTCACAGGTTGTCCATTCTTCCTCCTTTCACGTACAAATTCCAAAACTTTTTCTTCAATTTTAGGGTGTCTTCCTTTGTGAGGGCCAGTGAATTTCTTTCTACTAGTTTTAGTTACAAACGGTGCCAATTTCTGTTGCCGCCACAAGCGAACATTGCTCTCAGCTACGTTTAACTCTCTCCCAGCCTTTCTATTGCCATTTCTTTCAGGATAAAGAATTACTTTATGTTTGAAAGTAGCATCATATGACATTATTCTCTGCTTGCCCACCATTTCGTGACTACGTACTCTGCAGTTTGTATCCTCTATGCAATAATGTGTCAACGATAAATGTAACGGTAAATGTAGTTGAGAAATACCATTGTTACGATTTAAATTCGGTTGACGTCATCGGCAAACTGCTGACGTCATCGGTGAACTTTGCACTCAAATCTAATGCGCCATCGAATCTAATGCGCACCCCAATTTTGAGTACTACATTTGGCCAAAAATGATGCACATTAGATTCACATAAATACGGTATGTGAATTAACATTATGGCACATTTTGAAATTTGGTGTATTTAATATAAGTAATACAGTCAAAAGTCTTTAACCCAGACTAGTCGGGACTTCAGCGATTCCGGATTATCGGTTTTTCCGGATTATAGATCATCAGTTTAAATCTGGTAAGATAGCATGCAGAAATTATAAAATTAAAAATATGAAACCATAATTTAGGAAATAAAGAGCAATTATGATCAAAAGGGTATCAAAATTATAAAAAAAAATATGAAACATTGCTTTCAACGCACGCATGTGTAAAGCATACATTGCGCATAGTCGAAATTAGAAAATTGCAACCAGAAAACTATTTGATGTGTATTCGTGATATTTATAATGACAAGGAATTTTATTTAAATCATATCAAAGTACATCGAGATGAAATACTACATTTAGTAAGGAATTATAAGTCGAATAGAATAAAAACATCTGCTTGAAGATAAGGATAGTGCTGACAGATCAACTTCCAGTTCATTACTTCCCCCAGCAGAGCAGCATGAAATTGATAAACATATTTCGGAATGATTAGAAAATCAAAGGATATGCCTTTATCCATTTTTTTGCAGCAATTCCACCTTTTATTTGATGGACATCGAAACATGCTTTCGCTTTGTAGATCCTTTGGTAGCTCCAGAATCGGGAATTCTTTTTGACATAATTGAAATTTCAAGCTTACTTTTATAAAATTGCTTTAACAGTCTGCAAAAAATAATAAGCCGGATCCAATTAAAAGATTAAGGAACAATGCAATTTGCAACATTAACTGAAATAGATAATTAAATAATTTTAGCTTAGTTTATACCGTCTGTTATACATTAAATGCACATGCATAAAAGTATTATGCACATGCGTTAATGCATTATTTAACAGTATTATATTTCGTTCATATTATAAGTCTGAATGCACAAAATTTATATAATTTAAAGAGTTATCTAATCATTGCCACATGTTCTATTCAAATACTATAATAAAGCTAGAACTATGTATAAAATAAATTAAGCAAACAAAACAGAAAAGAAACAGTTTTTCACAGACGATTCAGTATTTTTCATTCACTTAATTAATTCAGTTCTCACTTCACAATTAATTCAGTTCTCACATCGTGACAAGGCAAAAATACATAAAAGCTCAAAATATCTGTATTAAAAATTACAAAGTAAATCTTAAATGCTTATTTCCTTGAAAAAATTCAAGAAAGGATTAAGCATGATTTAATTGGCAATAATAAATGAATGCATTACCTTTGTTGTTGCGAAGCTAAGTTTCTCTAGATTGGCAACAAATCCACTAGTCTCGTCTCCTGTTTCAAATGTAAACATCAATGGCCGCCATCAAATTAGGCTTAGCGGCACTTAAACAATTTTAAAATTGTTGATAATTCTAAAAATATTGCATACAGATTTATTAAAGGCATAAAACCCTTAACCGGAAGATAAAAACAACATAATTCAATCATTTTTACAGCAAAAATGTACAATTTACAAACATGTAAGAGTAAAGAAACTGAGATCACCGAGCTGGGTAACAGAGTGGATATATTTATAAATATATTTATATACGTTTGGTGCGGCCGATTGAAACCAAAATACTAGATGCACATCTACATGTTATAGTAGTCTTATATACAAAATTTTAACGTTCTGAGGCTACTCGTTTTTGAGTTATGCGAGATACGCACGTTCGTACAGACGCCACGAAAAATTCTCTTTAGAATTCATTTTAAAGCAATTTTTTAGTTTTTTTTTTTTTTTTTTTTTTTTTGGAGGAAAAGAGTCTTTTATTCTGTCCTTATGTACAGATATCACTCAAAAACATCGTTAAATTGCATTCGAAAGCGGTCAAAGTGGATATTTTCGTTGAAATATGCTGCCTGAAGCTTTTCGCGATTACAATACTTCCTTTTTACTTCGTACAAGGAAGTAAAAATGAAAGTAAGTAGGTTACTATAATTTAAGAATTCTGCCAAGTGAATTATTCTTGGCACAACCTGAAAAAATTCGTCAAGATAAATTTTAAAATTTTTCTCCAAAAATTACAAAATTTAATATCTAGCCATAATTTGAGTCGTAGAATCAAAATATGGGAAAAAATGATATGCTATTTCAGAAATAGTCCGATTTGTGTCAAAATATGCATGTTAGAAAAATGCTATATTTAAATATAATGCATATCATAAGTCGCGCTTTCGGGACATGAAAAACGCAATTTGGATTTCATCAATCGGACCAGTAGAATGGCAGTTACAGAACTGGCCCCCTTGTTTTTCTGCGGTTTACATGTTTAGGATGAGTGTTTAAAGTTAATTTTTTCAAACATCTTGCATAATAGGCTTCACCTTTATTTTTATTGTGACAAACTATTAACTTTTCAACGCCTCAAAAAAGGTAACTGATTATTAAATATGTAAATATATCATGAAAACATTTAACTTTATTTCAGGACGAGCTTCCTATCATAGTATGTATTACAATAATGATGTTTTTGTGTATTTCAAATTATCTTGGTTAACAGTTATTGACTGAATAGGGAACAGTGCTTAAATGAAATTTGAAATTTCATACCTACAAGGTTCGTACTGTCCTTAAGAGTCCTTAAAAGTCCTTAGATTTTTTTAAATCAATTTTTGGTCCTTAAAAGTCCTTAATTTTGGCCAAAATCAGCAGAAGGTCCTTAATTTTAATCATCTGAAATTTCTGTTTTACGACTGCCATTTTGAGTGTGAAATAGGATTTTGTAGGAATATTTTTGGCGATTCATTGACATATATGGTTATCTTTTGAATGAGTTCATGGGTTATAATTTGTTTCTATTTCTAATATAAATAATGGGATAGTTGAGTTTCTAAGCAAGAAGTGAAACATAAGCATTTCAAAATTCATTTTTTCTAATAAAGAGCTCTTAAACAACTTTCTTCTTTTGGAGATTTGAATTCTTATATCAAACGGTTTTAAATTTGGCGACTTATCAACATTTTTGCGATTTTAAGATTAGTTTCTATAGAAAATTTTTAATTCCGAAATCTGAGACTTTTTCGACGATTTTTTATTTAAACATCGTAACATTGATGAATTTCATTAAAATAATGGGTGTTATATTGAAATTATATTTAAAAACTAACATTAAAATAAAACAATTTTATTTTTCACTGTCATATTATAAAGTTTCATTTTGGCAACTTGCTATACAATATTTTGAATCTGAAAAGTAAACAAGGTATAATGCTATAAAGCACAATTTATGAAACAGCTCTTAGCAAAAGCAAAATTAGTTACAGTATAAAATCCGTAATCCGGACGTCCATTATCCGGTATGATCTATAATCTGAACCTCAAAGCCACAACTTACGCATGCGCGTTTGATGCGCGCGTAAAGCCAGTAAAGCGTTTACCCATGATAGTGAAGTGATACCCATGATAGTGATACTTCCGATAGTGAAGAAAGTAAGAAAGAACTTTATTGAAAACGAAAAAATTTCGATTGACAAGTTAGTAGGTATTCTCGACACAGCAATTGCAGGACTTGAACAGTGGAACTTTGTAACTGAACAAGAAATTATGTCTGTTTATAGAATTAAGGAGAAAGTATTAACACCAAAAATGAAGCAACTTAAAAAACTTACATTGAAAGAAATGTTTAATAAAGTAAACAAATAAATATTAACTTTTTTTTTTGTAAATTCTGATACTCTTTAGATCATATTTGCTCTTTATTTCATAAATTACGGTTTCATATATTTAATTGCATAATTTCTGCATGCCATTTTACCAGATTTAAACTGATGATCTATAATCCGAAAAAACCCCTAACCCGGAATCGCCGAAGTCCCGACGAGTCTGGATTACAGACTTTGTACTGTATCTAATTAATTTAAAATGTCTTTTTAATTTTTTCAATGTAAGAGTTTTTCCCATGTAATTTTCTTTGAGTATTCAAAATTCTCAAAATATGCATCAGTTTTCTCTATACAATTAATTTTACACTTTCCCCCTCTTTTTTTTTTTTTTTTTCAAAAATATTTCTGGCTTGCCGTTACAGAATTGGTAGGGATAATTTTTCTTTAGAATTTTAGACATTGCAACTTGAAAAGTTTAGAAGGATTTGAAGGCAAGATTTATAGACACACAATTCTAGAAAATTCGAGATATATGTGACAAATTGAAAATGTCTCCCTGGTATCAACACGTAATGGATGTATTTTACAGAAAGTTTGCGATGAATTTCTTACTTCTTGAAGAAAGTCTTGAAGAATAATGAAAACATAATATTTTAATGTTTTACTTCTGATACTAGAATCTTAACATGTTTCTCTTCCCTTTATTTTCTCTATTTTTCACTTGACACAAGCATGAAAAATATCAAAAATGCTTCTAATCTTATCACATGGGCAGGCATTACAAAAAGGGATTTTTTTTTTTTTAGTAAAGAAATTGAAAACTTACAATTTAAAACATTTATCTAATATATCTAATATATCTATATATGCATGGCTGGCACTAGGCATTTTCCCACCTGATGCAATCTTTGAGAATCCTAAATTCTTCTGCCTAGTGCCTTTTTAAGTTCTATTTCCAGTGCCTGCTCTAAATTCTAAAAGTTTTGCCATTTCTAGATTTTGTTGTTTGGTATGTCACTAAATTTTAGAAATTCTGCCACACTCTCTGTAATCGGCCTTTACCATATATATTTCATATTTCTTTTGAATGTTCATATTACTAAAGAAATAAAATTAGTCACTTTTTGTATACATTCTAAATGCATTTAGTGTTTTTTAGAATAAAAGAAATCCTTAATTAAATCCGAAAATTCTAAAATGGAAAGGAGATATGCTGAAGAAAGAAACTGAATACATAAAGAAAATTATTCATCAAACATATGGGCAGTTATTATTATGTAAATTACCCAATTGTTTATGATTTCAACCTTTACTATAATTTCCCATTTCTATTTCTTCATATGATGGAGTTACTGAGCCAGATTAAATTTAAATTAAATTGTGTAATCTTTGACCACTAGTCCACATTTTTAGTTTGAATTTGACTGTTCTTGTTTAATTACGTCACTGTGAGCTGTATTTGATTTTTGTTAGCATTAGAACAGCCTTTGTGTTTTAAGTTCATTTTAATAAGAGGCTTATTTAAACCTTTGTCTGATATTGTAGTTACTTTCAGCCATAGTGATAATTTGCTTCACTTCTGTCAGAGGTGGTTTTGGACTATTTAAATTTTACCTAATCAAGTAAACCCTCATAGGTATATTCTAGAGAGGTTGACAAGTTAGGAGATAAAGCATGCAGAAACTAGCGAGAGCATGGGTTTGCATATTGAGACAAATCTCTAATTGTTAGAAAAGATGCTTAAAGAGAAGGAAATCAATATAAACTAGCCAAAATGTTTGGGAAGATTTCAAATTAAAATGACGGATGAATATTTTGTTGAGTGTTGTTGTTACAAAACATTTATGTTTTGTAACAACAACACTCAACAAAACATAAATGGTTTGTAGCTTTTAATATGTAATTATCCTAATATTCTTTAAAATCAATGTCATAAATTACATGTATTTTAAACTGTGAAATTTATTAAATATTTTTTTTTGATAGGGCTTTTTTTAACAAATAGTGTTAAAAAATAAATTGTTAAATGTAAATCCATAATCCATAATGACTAAGTTTATCTAACTACCTAATTTAATTATTTATAGCTAACTGCTTACCCTTAAAAATGATCTCTACATATTAAAGCAAGTTATTGCCTTTCATTAATATTCACTGTGGTCACAAGATAAAATACAAATCTAAAAATTCAAGCAAAACTTATTTTTTGCATTTTGTGAGACTTAAAATAATACAACACAGCTTATCCTCTCTGGTGGTTTAATGGCTTATTGGAACCTTTAAGTATATTAACCGGGTATATTAACTGGAACTCTACATGAAGCTACGGCACTATCTGCATCAAACAGAGCCTGACAAACTTTCAACACCTGCCCCAATCGTGCCTACATCAGGTATTTCAGGTTTGTTCTAATCAGCAGGTCTCTCTCTAGACAAGCAGCAGCAGTGACAACATTCAGTCTTTTGTTATGAATCATGCTGATTATGATTTTACTTCTCACTTTAACCTATGATGTTTGATATAAGATCTACCTGCTATTTACTAAGCCTCTAGACTGACAACCAAGTATGTGACAAAATGAGACATAAAAAAAAAATCGACATAAAGCTAACTGTTAGTAAAACGTAAATGTCACTTATCTTCTTTCAAAATTTAGGGATCTATTTTATTTTTAGGATGGTATTGCAAAAGTGAAATTCAGGTATAGATATTATTTTTAATTGAATTTATTCAGTTCCCATTTGATCGTATGTCCTGAATTTTTTTCATTAATGGTCCTTAAAAGTACTTAATTTTTGCGTGCAGAAATCTGTACGATCCCTGTACCTAAGAGATTTAATCATTATTGCTTGCTTCCATCAATATAATGGTATCAGGGTAATGCTCTTTGTTCCTTTCAGATGTCCAGTATATAGTGCTGGACTGAAACTTAAGTTACATAATGAATAGTGCAAAATCCAACTTTTGAACTTTCATGGTCCATGAAAATTCTTGTTGTTTTAGCTCTTGCTAAATAAACTAGAGGTCAGTGCTAGATTATATGCGATATTAATTGCACATTTTATAACTTAATTGCTGTTATCTGTGTTCATTAAAATAGTGATACTGTTGCAACCGCTTTTATAAAAATTAAGCAGTTCTTCAGGAATAAATACATGATCGATAAAATATTTATGGCTTCAAATTTTAAAATTTATAAACTAACAGTTTCATCAAAGTCAATTTTCTTTGATGTGATTGATATTTGAAAGAAAGTGTGAAGGTGGTCAAATTTAAAAGTAAGTATATAAAAAAAAATTCCTGCCATGCTTATATAAAGATGAAAGTATGTACAGGTTAGGAATTCTGCAGTCAGTAATAAGAATAAGTTTTGTCTGTGGGACACATAAAAGCACGTTTAAAAGTTGAATGTTGCCTGATGATGCCAGATGACTTTCTTTCATCATGTTTATTGAAAGATTTCAAATGGAAAACATTACTATGAATTATTTTTTGAATCTTTATCAAGAATTTATTTTATTTTCAGCTTGCTACAAGAAATGCTGAACAATTTTGTGCTCGTATCAATACTAATAAGAGCCCTAGTACTATTGAACAACGCTTAAGAGACACAAAGAAAGCTCTTGAAGAAGCAAGGTATGATGTTCCTCAGTAATTGCATAATTCCTAGCTTACTTTGAAATGTAGATTCAGAATATTTTGAAAGATTTAGATACCTTGAAATGTAGATCATCATTCCAATGATCTACATTTCTCAAATATATGTTCAATTTTCTTATTCATTATTATTTAAATATTCTTTATTTGGAGTCAGGCACAGAATGTATAACAATTTTAATAAAAATATTCTGCACTGGAATCATCTAATTAATGTTCAAGTTTCGATAGAAAGCTTTGAGTGATACTATAACTGAATTTATACTGGAAAGTCACAATGGATTAAGAACTAGACTGTATTGCAACATAATTGATAGCTCAAGCAAGTAGGATGACTCGCGTTTTGGTTGGAGCTACAGGTTATTTGCTCACAAAAATCTTACACAAGTCATTAATATATTCAGATTTGAATTAGATAAAGCATACCTAAATGGAGAAACACTTCAAAAATAATTTATTCTGATGAAACTAATAAAAATATATTAATTTTGTTATAATACAGTAGACAAGATTTAATTCTTTTTTTATCACAGAAACACAACATTGTGGTTAGATCAGGCTGGTAAGTTCTTTTATCATTGAGTGTGGGTCTGAATCTTTGGAAAGGTATGTGAATGCAATATCTTTACTTCATCAGACCACTTAAAATATATTGAGCAAAAGATCTTTTTGAGAAGTTACTTGTAGGCAAACAGAAGTGCAAGAATTTCAGATTCTCTGTTCTGAGAAACTGTCCATTAAAACTCTAATGGAACTTGAGTAGATAGTACTCATATGTTTTGCCTGAATTAAATTATTCAGTCCAATCTTTGATTACAGAAACTGTGACAAATAAATAAGTATCCTGATACCTATTTAATTTGTATGTTTATGTCAATATCCAGAAATTCCTCTACTAGCTCTTTTAGATTAATTTAGCCAACTTAAAATGATTTTGAGTAGTTTTAGCAAGTAATTATAATCTAAATAAGGGAATAACTTCTTATTTTTTACTGAAAAAGTTACATGTAATAATATGCTTGGAGCCTGCATAGCACTTAATATTGGGTGTTGGGGGGGGACCAAATAAATAAATCAATTAAAAAAAAATTAAAATTAAAAAACAAAACCTGAAATGTTTCAGATTTTAAATTACGTCCAAAGGGGCGTCTTTTAACATTTTGTGTGTTACCTTTCTTTATTAAATATCATGTTCCTCGCACTTAAACCATAAGATCCAGTGCAACAGCAATATCGCAAAATAGTTTTTAAAACGAGCATATCTTTAGAATTTCCGATACAGAGACTCACGCGCTGGAGATAAAAATGTTTTTTCTGCACAACGTTGCCATTGCTCGCTTTGAAATCCTTGAGCTTGTTAATCAAAAATTCGTCAAAGTTTTAAAAAATAGGAAATCGATCATAAAACAAATTTCAAATTTGGTCTTCCACATGCTCATATTCGTTGGAGGATTACGTTATTCAAAATTCGATGACTCTATGTACCGTTATTTTATGACAATGTGAGAAATATACATACATTTACGCAGATTTTTCATTATTTAATTTCTTCAAATATAATGCAGGACTCTAACATTTTATGGCAACAGTTTGAAAAGTGAACCGACATTTATCCGTCCGACGCAAAATGCCAAAACGAAAGTAATAGTCCTTCGGGACTCAAGTCCCTTTGGACTAATAAGTAAAAATAAAAATTAGAGATTAAAACTTTTAGGTTAACTTTTGAAAGTATTATTCGAAATAAATGCATAAATTTTTCTCCTCTCACAAATGAAGAGATAGCTATAGATGCATGTATGTATATGTAATGAATAAATAATATACTCATTCTTTATCTTTAGCAATTGTGACAGGGAGGACCTAAGAGAAAGATATGAAGAAAAAAAAGCAAAGTTAGAAAAAGCAAAATCTGAATTAAAAGCTATAGAATCTAACATCATTGTAAGCATTTCTATGAAATTTTTTTTCTATTTTTTAACATTTTTATATTTATAACTTTTCTAATTTTTATTTTCGAATTTTCTAATCTAAAACTTGTAAACATGTATCATATTTCTGCTTGTGGTTTAGATACTTGGTGAGATGATGGATAAGCGAATTAAAAAATTTAAAGTAGTTCTTCAGCAGACAAAACTGTGTTTGTCTTTAAGCTTTACAACCACCCTAGCTGGGAATAGATTCGAGGGTGAACTGATCTTTGATGATGTCAAGCGAACATTGATTTTAAAAGTAAGTTGATAATTTTATATTATGAATACTTATCCTTTCTTTCTTTTTTTTTCTTTTTTTAGCCTTAAAAGGAAGTTAGTTCCAAATGGGATATTAATCTCAAAACGGCTTTTTGCGTTGAATCACTGTAAATAGTGTATATTTTTTTCAAATTGTCGCCACCAAATATTATCGCCCTGTATTTAAAGAAATTAACCAGTGAAGAATCTTCATGAATGTATGCATGTTTCTCATACTGAAAGAAATGAAAGTACCTAGAGTCATTTTGAATAACATGGGCTCCACCTGAACTAGGGCACCTGAAAGCTGAAGTGCTCAAATTCTGAATTTGTTTTATTAATTATTTAAATACCCATTTTGACCACTCTCGAATCCATTGAAGCAATATTTTTGCCTGACATACATGCATATGAACAGAATGAAGGACTCTTTTTTCCAAAATGGATTCAGAAGAGACATTTTCTCAAGGTCTGTATGTGCACATGTGCGAGTATATATATATGGCATAAGTCAGAAACAAGTAGCTTCAGAAGATTGAAATTTCATATATCGAATTGCTATAACATGTAGTTTGCACTTTACTTTTTGGTTGCAAATGGCCGCACCGGCTGCACCAAACGTATGTAAATATATATACAGGGTGATTCTAAATTGTTTTTACAAATTAAGAGGGGTGGTAGTACTCATCCAGATGAGCAATAATTGCCATAGAACATAGGGACGCATTCCACTCTAAGAGGCAGAAAAAAGGAATATTAGAATTCCAACATGAACTTACAACAGTGTTGGGAGAGTGAATGAACGAGACCAAAAGTTGCACAATGAGTTTAGTGAAAACTCATGGACAGTGCATAAAACGGATAAAACCAAAAACTTGGCGTTTGAGTGTTAATTTGAGCTCAGACTTTGATGGCAAACACTCAAAATGCGCATCTTTGGTTGGCAAGGTCTCAACCTTGCAAACAGTTGCAAGAAGTTAATGATCTAAATTATTAGGGGGGGGAACTCCTACTTTGATATCAAGTTAGCAATTTTTTTCCCCTTCGCCATCTTTTATCCTGTCTTCCTGGATTTACTGTGCTGAGCTCATTCTACTTGAAGTGCCTTTCTTATGGGACATGAAGTTCTGACAGTCAGAACACGGCATGAACTTTTCATGCTAATCTCGAAAGAAGTTGGAGTTAGTTGATAATATTCAGCCCTTGATTAGATAATTAACTTGTTGCAGTCATTTACGAGGTAAATTCTGTAATAATTGCTTTTGCATTTCCTCATAATAAATATTTAGTCACCCCCAAAAGCAAATATTGTGCTTGGGGGAATTTTGAATTTATGAAATAATTTCTTTTCCAGCCTGTAAACCCTGATTCAGAGTGTTATGTTTTTATGTCATATCACATAAAAATGCTAAAAGACACCACCATTCATAATGTTCATTATGTACTTTATGTGACTTGTAAAAATAAAATAATTCTTTAGCATAAAGGAGGGAAAAAACTCGTACGAGTTTTTTGTGTGCTTTATTATCATATCAAGATATGCAAAAGAAATTACTGAAAATTTCTTCCATCAATTTTTTAAATTTTGCATGGTTCAAGTCTTGTGAATGCATGGAATTCACTATATCTATGACAGTTTTCATCATCAGGGCATCTAATTCAATCTAGAAACACATGCAATGAAGTTCTGTCTATGAATGATATAGTAAAATGATGACAGATTTGTTTGTAAGATCAGATGATTTTCAGATCCTGTCGCTGATGAACTCAAAAACTAATTTCAGTGTATGTACTCAAAATCTAATTTCTATATATCAGTGTAATTCTTTTCCATAACTGTGCTAATACTGCAGAGAAATTTTTGCTTTTAGTTTGATTTTACATAGAAAGAAATTAAAAATATCTTTATTAAATAAATTCTGTTGTATAGGATTCAATATAAATGGAATATTGTGATATTGTTGAAATGTTAATGTTACAATCAGTTTTTTTGTAAAAAGTTGAATTTTTCCCCATAGGTATTTAAAATTTTTATTTGCAGGCTGCTCCCAAAACTGATCGATCTAAAAAACAGGATTACACATGTCAGGCTCTTAGCGGAGGAGAAAGATCTTTCGTTACAATTTGCTTTCTGCTGTCTTTGTGGGAGAGAATTGAAATGCCGTTCCGAATTTTAGATGAATATGATGTTTTTATGGTGAGTTAATACTGTAAAATTATATTCTGAATATTTTTAGTTGGATTTTATGTATGTATTTTTTTCAATCAGCTTTGTTTTAAAAAAGCACACTACACTTCTGTATTGTTTCTCTAATGTTTAGCCTTGTTACATATCGTGTTATTACTAAGCATTTTGTGACCAGTTTTAAATTTCAACTCAAATTATGAAAGATTCAGAGCAGAATGGTTAAAAGTTCTAACTATTTATTTCAAATTCAAATTTTGGCACATATTAGCATGCCCTATGAGAAAGACAGCCAATAGGCTGTGTAGGATCTTTCTGATACAATTTTTCTTTGTAGGAAGAATTTATCACTTTTATGAAAATCATAAAGAATATGAAGCACTTATTTAAGCAACAAAATTGTTTTTACATGTAAAAAGAGATTTTAAAAACAGAATGAATCATACATCAACTATCTTCCTAGTCACACTCATTTAACTGCACGCTCATCTAGATACAGTTGCAGGGATGTTTTTTATATGTATACAGCATCTAATGGTGATTTTTGCATTTAAGCATTTATCTGATTCATAATAATATTTTGCTTTAGATCCTTATAACAGGGTTTAATTTTGAAATTAAAGGCTTTTAAGGACTCTTGCTCCTGCTCAAATTCGGCAGGAGATCCTTAATTTTGATCATCTGAAATTTCTGTCGGTTTTTAAGAATGGCATTTTGAATGTGAATTATCATTTCTGTCAAATATTTTTGGCAATTTATTGACAAATATAGTTATTTTTTGAATGGATGAATAGGTTCATGGATTATAATTTGTTCCTATTTTACAATATAAATGGTGGGATATTCAGGTTTCTGAGAAGTGAAATAGGCATTTCGAAATTAATTAATTTTTTCTAATGAAGAGCTTTTAAACAACTTTTTGCTTTTGGAAATGTGAATTAAGCAGTTCCAAATTTGGCGACTTATCAACATTTTGGGGATTTTAAGATCAGTTTCAGTAGAAAATTTTAATTCTGAAATCGAGGAATTTTTCAATGATATTATTTTTTAAACATTATAACATTGATCAATTCTATTAAAATAATGCTGATATATTGAAAGTGTATTCAAGAAGTGATATTAAACTGAAACATTTTTATTTTTTTCTTCATATTATTATTTATACTTTCCATTCTGGCGACCTATTATACAATATTTTGAATGTGGAATATAAACAAGGTAATAAATGCTTAAATTGCACTTTATCACAGTTTACAAAACAGTTCTTAGCAAAAGCAAAATAGCTATGTAATTAATTAAAAATGCCTTCATTTTAATTTTTTCATGGTTAGAGTTTTTTTCCCATGTAATTGTCTCAATATGCATCAGTTTCTCCATAAAATTAATTTTACACTTTTCTCCTGTGAGTTTTTTTCAACATATTTCTGGCTTTTTGCTGTTACAGAATTGGTAGAGGTAATTTTTCTTTAGAATTTCAGACATTGCAACTTGGAAAATTTAGAAGGATTTGAAGGCAAGATTTTATCTATTATAGAAGAATTTAGAAGATTCCAGAAAAATGTCCTCATGGTATTAACATGTAATGGATGTATTTGACAGAAAGTTTTTGAAGTTTTGGAGAATTTTTGAAAAAAACAATTAAAACATAATATTTGAATGTTTTATTTTTGATACTAGAAGTCTTTTTCTTAACATGTTTATCTTCCCTTTGTTTTCTCTACTTTCCATTAGACACAGGCACAGAAAATATCAAAAATGCTTCTAATCCTATCACATGGACAAGCATTTATAGAAAAGAATTTTGCTATTAATAAAGAAATTGAAAACTGACAGTTTAAAAGATTCATCTTGTATGTCTCAATGCATCATGCATCATACGCAGGGCTGGCACTACGCATTTTCCCACCTGATGCAATCTTTGTGGATCCTAAATGCTGCCTAGTGCCTTCCTAAATTCTAAAATTTTGCCATTTCTAGATTTTGTTGCTGGGTGTGTCATTAAATTCTAAGAATTCTGCTACACCGGCTCTATAATTGGCCCTTACCATGTATCATTTCATATTTATTCTAAATGTTCATATTACTAAAGAAATCAAGTTGCCAGTTTTTCCTATGCATTAAAAATTCATTTAGTTTTTTAGAACAACAGAAATCATTAATTAAATCCAAAAATTCTAAAATGAAGAGAAAATGCTTCGAAGAAAGAAACCTAATGCATAAAGAGAAAGAAAATTATTTTTCAAAGATATGTACAGTTATTATTATGTGCATTTAGCAGTTTTTTATAATTTTCTTTTTCCGTTTACTCACCAGAATGAAAAATCACTTAGTTTTTAAACTAAGATTTTGGGGTTGTAAGACAGAATTTGTTTCCGACTGCTGCTTATACGCTGCATTAGTTAATAGTTCTGGTAATTTGTAATTATTCTTCTTTGCATTATTGCTGCTGATATCTGAATTTGTTACACGATAACTCTATTACGACAAGTTTTTACGAGCTTGTTATGATGTGTTACTAAGCCAGCTTAGATTAAAATTAAATTGTATAGTCTTTGATTACTAGTTCACATTTTTAGTTTGAATTCGACGGTTCCTGTTTAATTGGATCACCATAAGCTGTAGTTAATTTTGCTAGTATATGAACATGCTGTTATATTTTAAGGTCTTTTTAAATAAGAGATTTATTTAAACCTTTGTCTGACGTTGTAGTTACTTTCACACACAGCGATAATTTGCTTCATGTCTGTCAGGGGGTTTTGAACTATTTAACTTTTACCAGATGAAGTAAACCCCTTATAGGTACATTGTGAAGAGGTTGATAAGTTAGGAGATAAAGCACACAGAAACTAGCGAGAGCAATGGTTTGTGTATTTAGACAAATTTCTAATTTAGAAAAGACGCTTAAGAGAAGGAAATCTTTATAAATTAGCTAAAATGTCCGGGATGGCCTCAAATTAAAAAGATGCATAAATATTTTGTTGACTATTGCAGCTACAAAATGTAAATGTTTTTTTAACTTTTAATGTGTAGTTATCTTAATATCACTTAAAAATGTCATAAATTACATGTATTTTAAAATGTGACATGTTAATAGATTGATATTTTAATAGTGGTTTTAACAAATATTAAAAAAAATTAATAGTGGCCATGTAAATCTATAATGACTAAAAGTATCTAACTAACTGATCACCCTTAAAAGTTATCTCTACATATTTAAGTGAGTTACTGCCTTTCATTAATCTAAACCGTGGTCACAAGATACAGTACAAAAATGTAAAAATTAATGTAAAACCTAATTGTTTGCATCTAGTGAGACTTAATACAAAACAACTTATCACCTCTGGTGCTTTAATTGCTTATTGTTACCTTAGAATGTATTAACTGGGTTACAATCACAGGAGCTTATGACACTTACTGCATCAGATAAGCAGAGCCCAACTAACTTTCAAAACTTGCCAACCATGCCTACATTAGCCTTTCAGTTTTGTTCTGATGAGCAGGGGTCTTTCTCTAGGCAAGCAGCAGTGGTGGCAACAGCCAATCTTCTGTAACGAATTGTACTGATTATAATTTTACTTCTCATTTTAACCTGTGCTGCTTAACATAAAATCAATCTATCTGCTATTTACTAAACCTCTGAACTGAGCAAGTATGTGAAAATTGAGAAATGAGAAAAAAAGTCAACATAAAGCTGTTAGTAAAATGCAAATAAAATTTCATTAATCATCTTTCAAATATGTCCATATATTATAAGGGTAAAATATTCAATGCTACTTGATAAATTTTATAAAGTTGATTTTCTCAAATTTATTTTATAATTATGTTAATTAATAATGCATTCTACTTGTGGATCTATTTTATGCTTAGGGTGGTATCACAAAAGTGAAGTTCAGGCTTAGCTAAATATCTTTAATTGAATTTAATTAGTTCCCATTTGTGGATGGGTCCTTAATTTTTTTCATTCATGGTCCTTAAAAATACATAATTTCCATGCAGAGAAATGTGAACGAACCCTGTTATAAGCATGTGCTAAAATTTGTGCCTCTTCCCATTGTAGCTTTCAAATCTAAGACCTTTATGTGACTTATTGGTTTATTTTTGTGTCTAACTTAAAGGTAATTAAAGTCATAAATTGTTACTAATATTTAAAAAAGTTAAGAAAAATTATGGCATAAAATATATTTAGACTATAGCTTTCATCTGTGTGGTATTTTTTAATTTTTTTCCTGTGAGTTATGTTCTCTTAATACCCTAGGATTGAGCTGTGTTATTTTTACTTCCTTGTATGAAGTTAAAGAAGTATTGTAATTGCAAAAAATTCTGGGTACCATATTTCAACGAAAATATCCATTTTGACCACTATCGAATGCAGTTTAACAATGTTTTTGCGTGACATCTCTACATAATATAAAGACTGATTAAAGAACTCTTTTTCCACAAACAAGTTACAAAACTGATTTAAAATGGATTCAGAATAGATTTTTTGTGGTGTCTGTACACACGTATGTATCTTACATAACTCAAAAATGAATATCCTCAGAATGTTGAAATTTTGCATATAGAACTGCTATAGCATCTAGTTGTGCACCTCCCTTTTTGGTGGTGATCAAGCGCACCAAAAGTATGTAAATATATGTATAAGATATAACAAAATATGATAGCTGCTTTAAGAAATAATTGGAAACCTCAAAGTTAACTATTCTAAATCTGGTGGTCCGCCCCCCCCCAAAAAAATTCATCTGTTCTCCCAATTTGAGATCTTTCCATGTTTGCAACACTGCTTGAAAGTGTTATTCTGAAAAGGGTAATTAAACTAAAATTAACCAATCATAGCTTGTCTCTACAATTGCATCTACTTAGGTATAAATACTGCTCGTAAGTTAATTTCATCTTTCCTTTCCCTAGCTTCTACTTTGCTAACATCTTTACGCTGCTTCACTTCTCAGTCTAAGATGCCAACGTCTTACTTTTGAAATCAGTCTACATAAAAATTATCATATTTCATTATGATTGGGTAAATGTCAAGATGGTTTTATATATGCATGAAAATAAAGATTGGGAATTCTTCAAGCTCAGTTGTGTTAACTGCATCATCATAGCTTTTACCTTCAGCCACCACTGTCTTCTCAGCCATGACAAATATCGAAAGCTGTTTAAAGTTTCACTGTTTTCTTCTACACGTTAAGTTATGACACATATATATACATATATATATCCACCCTGTTACTCGGTTCAATGAACTCAGTTTTATATGTTGGTAAATTGTGCATTTTTTGCTTTAAAAAATGATTGAATTATGTTGGTCTTATCTTGTTTGTTAGTTGCTGTAAATTTGTTTAGGTATGGCTAAGCCTTTTTTTTTTTTTTTTTTTTTTTATCATAGCAGTCATATTTGTTTACATTTGAAACATAGGAGAATAGTGAATTAAGTCTTTCTGTACCTTCAGTGTCTTTTTGCCAAGTGGGACCAAAAGGAAACTTAGTTTTGTGCACTGAAAAATCTGCCTTCTTGCCTGCTGGCCTAATGGCTTGTTTTTGTGTAGAAACTGAAATTTTAATTGTCAAATTTTTTTAAACTGTTTTAGCTGTATATTGTGTTTTATGTTTTTGTATATCTTTCAATTTTTATTGAAAATATTGTATGTATTTTTGGCTTGTCACAAAGTTATAACTGAATTAATAGAATGAGAAATGTATCTCTGATGAAATAAGTTTAAATGAAATGCAGGAAAAAAATGCATTTAATTTAGTATTCCCTACTAGGAAGTCATGTGATGTAGACATCAGATTTTTTTTAATAATGCTCATCATATGGATTACATATTTTACTCAAAATCACCAATATTCATTACTTTCATTATGCTCAATAACCAACTTGTTTCCTCTCAAATTATCAATGTAGTGAAGAATGGCCTTTGGGTGGGGGCATTTTGACCTAGTAAATGTAGTCAAATATTAGTTCATAGGATAACTGATGACACTGCAACAAAATTTATGTGTTTACATTAATTATGAATTAGTTTTCTTCATGGAAAACAAAACAATTTAAGATAATTTTAAAGTGAGTTTTTTTATTAATTTATTTTTAATTAAATTTTGACTTCAGAAATATATTTATTGAAACATTCTAATTTTTCCAAAAGACATTTGTTTTATCATTCTGTTGCATTGTTTACTTATAATTGATATTCGTGGCTGTAACCTCACTTTGCCAGCCATTTGAAGTTTAAAATTTTATTCATAAAAGAATCGATAATATATTTATAATCAAAATTATCTCTAAATAACATTACACAGTTGTCATACTTCTTATCAGGTAACTGAAAGCTAGATGCTGTATTTAATGCTACTTTACTGAAGGAGGCTTTTAAATAAACAAATTTTGCCATTTTCCCAAGTTTTGTAAAGGAATTCCAAAGTTTCAGGTTCCCTGAATATGGTTTGATTGATTTAGGGATTCAAAGGGAGCTATTTAATTTCATTTTGAGCCTTCATTCTGGGATCTCATTTCACCAAACTTGTATTTAATAATGCAGTCATTTGACTCATTGTCAATGAATATTGATTCATTATAAATGTTTTCAAGTATGCTTCTAAAAATTAGTATGTTTGAAGAATAAAAGGAATTTCTAAAATCATGTACTTATATACGTTAACTATAAAATATTTTAAATTCAAGTTCTGACCCCTTTCTTTAAACTTAAAAATTTTTATTTATATTTTTATTTTTTAGGACTCAGAAAAACGTCATTTAAGTGTGACTTTATTAACAAAAACTGCAGAGCAAAAGAAAGATGTGCAGTTTATTTTTCTGTCTCCACTGGAATTACCACCGATGAAAGACTTACCTCACATAAAAGTACATATAATGCCTCCTCCAAAACGAAAACGAGCAGATGATGATTAAAAACCAAGTGTAAAAATGTAATATATTTATTCTTATTGTTGCATACTCAGATATATATTAAATATATTTCATAATAATTTGATTTTTATTTCTTTTGTGCCACATCAGATATATATATAATGCAGCTGTAACAATAATTATTTGGTGTTAAACAGTAGCACCACTTCATATGATCATGTTTGTCTGCAATAATTTTAGTAACATAAACCAAATGACAGCACTAAATGCTAAGAGAATGTTCTTAAAAAGATATCAATAAACTAATGTAATATAAATATAATTAGAAACATATACAAATTTCCACAGTTTTTTAAGGAAAGAAATTATTAATAGTGAATTGTGTGCAATTGTTAACCAAAAGTTCATTTAGGTCTTGTTCATAATGATTGAGAAAATTATTTGACTGATGCTATATACCTAAACACAATTAATTAACAGCCCTTATCTATGCAGTTTTGCTGCATCGGTGGACCATTGACTTTCACATCTTCTTCAAGAACAATTGTAAATTGAACCTTTAATGCTCCCTTAGCAAATCCTTCCCCCTATGCATCTATGTGATGTCTATATTACAGTTTTAATTTGATTTGCAAATAATGCCACAATGATTCTTTAAATCTTGCCCAAGAAGGGTGCAGAAACATTTAACTTAAAAGCTGCATTCTGTTGGCTCTTTTTTTTGGGGGGGGGAGTAACCGTAGTGTTCTGATAAGTAGACTTTAAAGTAGTAGACTGATAGTAGACTTCATTCTACTTTTTGTTGATTTCGATAATAAAACTGGCTAAACATATTTAAAAAATGAGCACTTCCTAGAACAGAACATTCATAAACATCTTAAAGCTCTAACAGCTTTTGCTGTGAAAAAGCAAATTTATCTAGAACTGAGCCTTGTTAACTGGTTAGTCAGGTTTCCTAAAACTTAGAAAGCAGGTCCTGCTTAGTGACATTTTTACACCATGTGGCAGTTTCTATGTTCTGTTTCAACCTTATTGCATGATTTAATATTTTATTTGTACACATTTAAAAGTGCTTCAAAAATCTGCAATGAGTGGCAGCAGTGATGGAATTTTTATCATAGTACCTATAAATGGAGTTCTCTGCAATGTGACCATTGATACAGCAGCCAATGTTACCATCATCAGTGTTACCATCAGCAGCAGCCAATGTTACCATCATCATCTTACTAAATCATTTCTTGCTTGTTGACATTTAAAACCGAAATGAAACAAGCACAAAAAGGTGGTAAACACTAAAAGTATAAATTAGGGAAAACACAAAACTGTAAAATAGGAAATTTTGATATAAGAAAGACATTAAAACTAAAGAATGCAACACAATGCAAAACGAAACAACTCTATTGATAAATAAAAAATTAATGAAGAAGTACACAAAAGAAAATATGACAAAATGATCAGGGATACAAACGAAAAGAGAAACTCACCGACTTCCGAAAATGAGAGAATCCAGCAACCACGTGAAATGGTGAAGGAAAAAACAAAATGGAGAAAGTGTACAAACAAAACAGGAATAACTTTCTTGAAATGCCAGTTGGTAACAAAAATCAAGAGAGAAGGAAAATGCACAAAAGTAAAACATATAGTTAGGCAAAGCAACAACTTTGAAATCTACACTAAACACAAATTTGTTGCTTTGCCTAATTGTATGTTTTACTTTGGCATGTTTTTCGTCTGTCTTGATGCCTGAGTCAGGCTAACTCTATCATAAAAATTAAATGTTGCTGTGTTCTGACTGTAAATGTAAAAATAATATTGAACTGATTCAAAGTAGCAAATAATACTGAATTGAATAGGAGATTTGTGATTCAATTTGTGATTATTTTAAAGTAAAAGCTGGTATAGTATAAATGAAGTTGTATAAAATTTAGGCTTTCCAGCCAATAATTATAAAGTTAAATGAAATTTAAGCTTAGTAAATTAGGATTCTTGAAATAGGATATCTTTGAGGTCTAGTGTATCTAAGGAAACAACAGTGTAGGAATTTAGTTAGTAGGTAATTAGTATGAAAAATTGTACACTCGTTCAGCTATTACAAATGTTGGAGAGTGGGGTGAGGAAATTGAAAATAGGGGGATGCACAAGTGTCAAATGTTATGCGAGTTTGTGAAAAGTTGTAAATTTAAGTATTTCTATTGTTATATTGAAAAAAAAACTGTGTTTGTAATTTTAAATACTTTAACTTTTATAACTTAAACTTAACTGACTCACAGTGGTGCCAGATAAATTAACAAAAAAAAAAAAAAAAAAAATCAGATAATTCACGTTCAAAAACTATTTCATAATATTCATATATCATTTCGACATTCTTATAAATATTCGTATATCATATCTATCAATCAATCGTATATCATATCTATCAATCAATCGTAAATATGTGGTATAGTACAATTTAACTTTTTAGGTTTGCGTTGTGAGTAACCTATGTAAAGGAAATCAATAACTCCAAATTCAAGTAAACTCCATGTTTCTTAAAAGCCACCCGGCTCAAACAAATGGAGGGACATGACAGACCACAGAAACTACACTAAATTAAACAAATGAAACATAAAATACATATCAAACACATTATTAATTTCTAGAATATTCAAACATATGATAACTAGGTAAAACTGATCAGTCCCCTACAAATTAACCTTAAGATATATATCATTTTAACATATATATCATTTTAATCTTATACTCATGTTTAGGTGTACTAAATTTTTTTTTAACATTACATAACTCACAATTTAGGCGGTTGTACCGTATATTAATATAGTATCATTACTCGGTTACAATTTAAATACAAAAGACAGAAAAAAAAAAATTCACTCACAGGGTGTGAAGTTCATATATTCAACTCCTATGCCATCATCGACTGATTAATATGGAGTGCTGATAGTTCAACAGATCGTCCTACTCATTGCGTTGACCATTCGAAGAGATCGAGAATGCCATCATCGACGGATTAATACGGAGTTTTAGATAGTTCAACAGATCTTCCAGCGTCCGAAGTTTACTCGAGCACCACATTATTCCTGCTGTCCTTTATTCACAAAATCATCGTTAATGGAGGCAGACAGTTCTTGCGAATTTTAAAGATGACTTGGTTGCAACACCATTGAAGCTGTCCTTACAATAGATAAATTCCAGAGCATGGAATGATGAAAAAAAAATCGACGCAGCTGGAACAGGCAGAATAAACAGCAATGCACACCTTAGAAGGGTCCTACACGAGTCTCTTTCATTCTGGAAGCCCCGAAACTCACCATAAGCGTAGAGCACCTTTGGAACAAAATCTAATTAGGAAGTCAAAGCCGGTAGAAAACAGGAATACCGCATCAGGATGTCAGGATCACCAAGAGAATCTGCCGAACAATTCTTGGGATAAGAGAAATCGAAAAATTCTTCTGCTGAGCTCTTTGCCTTATACCAACGCAATTCTCGCCAGCTAAAAGCCGAGAGAAAAAATCATACCCGCTGCGGCTGTTCACGCGGCTCGCGAGAAGCAAGACCCGAAGGGTCAAGCTCCCACTTTTTCTCCTCTTGACTCTTCGCTTCAAAATCAGAATCAGGAATAATGAACTCTAGCCTGGGTGCAAGCACCCAGGAAAATCTCGGTTTCTCCACCTCTGTGACTTCATAGGCTTTCAAAAAAATCATAAAATTAAAATCTTACCAATGCCGGAATTTTATGTTATCTAAACTGAGAAAATGACACACCCATGACGAATCAACCACCAGAAAATCTGACAATGCAGTTCCGAAAAACATCTGTGCACTCACAACGTGAGAAAAAAAAGTAGACCCCCAACTAACAAGCGGAAACTAAGCTTTTACGAGTATCCAATTATTAGCCCCCCCCCACTGTCTTGAAGTAAGAAAACTGCCAAACTTTAAACAAAGCGATTTCCGTTTCCCACGCATTAGCTGAAAAGACCCTACTACCTTCATTGTTGGAAAGGCCATAAACCAGATGTGTGTCCTCGCAAACCGTCTCTCGCCCTTGTTACAATTCCTACTCAAGAATAATGAGTTAAATAAAACCTTAAGAACTTAAGAATACTTTTTTCCCAGATTCAAATACACATGAATACAAATAAAAATATTAGAATAATAATAATTTAAAACACATATTAATAATTTAAATTCGCTACATAACACTATGGCTAAAATATTTTTCCATGTAGATTCCTGCAAGGAGATATAAAGATATAAATATGAATGGATAAATTTGTCCCCCGGCATGTATTTAAAATATTAACCAAGGTCTTTAAAGACCTTCGTTTGTGATTATTTTACTTCTGGTGAGCAAACATAAGGTTCTTACTTATTAACTTGTTATCTTGATTTTGATCTTTACCATGACTTCTTTCTGTTTTTCTCACCAGAATGCAAATTCGTTTTTAGAGTATATAAGCTCAGAGTTTTGGATCTTAGACAGAGGGAGTTTCTGGCATTTGCGTCTTGCTGTTGAATTTTGCCAGCTCTATCTAAAATTGATTATTCCAGCTTTTGTGCTCTCGCGCTAGCCAATTCTTTAAGCTTACACGCCGGTGTAAAATATTGAACCAACTTACAGTTTATTTTATTGAATATCTCTTAGACTACATTATCATGTTAAAATTAATTTGAATGTTATTACTTAATTTATACCGCCACAAGAGCTAGTTTATTTGTAGCACAAGCAGTGACTTTTATGCTAAAAGTTTAGATTAAGTAAAAGGTTTATTTAAGCCTTCCCAAGACTTGATATTTCTGACCTAGTGATTACTCGCTAACTTGTATTATAGCATCTGGAGGGGTTAACTTCAGCTTCCAGATCAGTAGCAACGCTGTAGCCTACTGTTAAGCATGGGGGGGGGGAGATAATGATTTGAGGATGTTGTGTTGCTTTTGGGATGGGAAATTTAGTTTTTATAGAAGATAATATGGGTTGGTATAAATATGTAAGTCTCCTTAAAACCTGAAAGCGTGTGCAACACAATTTGAAATGCAAAATGCAATCTTCTATCAAGATAATGATCCTAAACATACAGCTATAAATGCTGGCATGTGATTATTATATAACTTTCCAGAG